TGCTTTTTTATATTAGGCCAAGTAAAGTAAAAGAAACGTAATAGGATTTTATGTGGCCACATTGCCAAGTAAAGTAAAAAAATTAAACGGGATCTTATGTGGTTACATTGCAAATATGCTTAAATTGCATGCTTGTACCGAAAGTACTTTCAACTTAAGCAGGTCTGAAATGTACTTATTTTTCCATCACTTGTGACACTGCAGTGACATACTTAACAAGTTCCTGAATGACATAAATGCCATTCTGAAGTCTACCACGAGGACGAACTATGTGAAAGTTGTAAGTATAGTATAATTCATGATACAAAAAAGAAGGTAGTTTCATTACTACTATTTTTTGATTATAAAGCAAATTTTTGACAATTCTCCAGATGCAAACATTAAGCATAGCTTTGCCACATTGAAATTTTTTGAGAGGGTAGATTTTCTTTTAAATATTTGGAATTTAATAAAAGAGTAAAATTTACAAAAAAAAAAAAATAAGTTCGATAATCAAATTTGAAGTTTTTCTCAAGCGTTTTAAAGATCCTTTGAATAATATCGATGTGCAGAGATGAAGTAATAAGATAAAATCCAGTTTTGAAACATTTATTTATTAAAACGCTTTTTTTCATTTTATTTCAAACAAAATAAATAAATTTACAAAACAAAACTCATTTTTTCATAGTCCGAAGAAGATGTATTGATAGATATTTCGTCATTAAAGCAAAGTCCGAAACAGGCTTCGGAGAAGGTTGTATGGGCTCATTGCCTCACAATTAAACGAGTCACAATTCAGAATTCTCCCGAAGTGAAATATCCAGAAGTAATTCAAGATACAAAACTGTCGTGTAAATCTAACGTGGAACACAAAACCTCGAAAGAATTGGCAGCGTTTTGGCAATGTAAGCAGGTCTTTGGCAAAACGTGGGGTGTGTCACCATAGGGAATCCTCTGGATTTATACCTCTATGATCAGACCCATAATTATCTATGCGTCAGTGGTATAGTGGAGCAGATTCTCAATCAAGAGCGTAGGAAGTCTGCTTGGTAAACTTCAAAGAACTACTGCCGTGTGCTGTCCTGAAGCTTTCTCTATAATACGTGGCGCTGCTCTTGATGCACTGCTGCACTTACCGTCACTTTGTGTCTTCCTACGAGGGGAAGCTTTAAAGGCCACCTGCAGACTAAAAAGAAACGGATGCTGGTATAACACTGAGTGGGGCAAGGCGGAAATTCCTGGCGGCAGAGATCTGAGCACTTGTGTCTTTTCAATGCCACAGGATAGTACGCAACTTTACCTTTGTTGAAGAGATTCTATAATGTTTAGTTCCTTGCGGCTGAATGCTGGTTTAATACCAGCAAAAATTAAAAATTACAATTCCTTTAATCTGTTCATATAACGTTTTTCTATATAATCAACAGTTTTGCCGGTAAAAATAAATGTATGAAGAAAAAAAATATTTTTTGCCTAAAATATTAAAATTTTTTATTTTTTAAATTCATGAAAAATCCAAAACGGAAAAAGGCAAGTCGTATTACTTTCACGCAAAGTCACATAACCTTTAAGCAAAATGAGACATAGATCATGAAAATCGATGGACGCGTTTCGCTTTTATTCACAATTAAGTGAAGGTATCTCATTTTGACAAGAATATTTCCCCTATATGATAGTTACTAACTTCAAATCGATATATCTCGATTCCTAGACGTGACCCAGCGAAATGCCGGGCCACGTATAACTTGTTCTTGACCGATATAACATTTCCCGTTGGTTTCATCCCATCCCGATTTTGACTGTCGCATAGTGTAATATTTATCATAGCATGAAGCACCGAATTTTAAGCCTTACCTTTGCAAAGCACATCCAAATCCTTTTCGGTGACTGGCTTTAGAAGAAACTAATTTAATAATAGCTGATTTTTGCGGTGAACAACATATTTACCGGTCTTTTATTTCAAAGAAAAAGTCAGTTGGTTGCTTTTTCAAATATGGCGATCGAAGACAATTTTGCTTTTCGTTTTCTAAATATTTTTTTTTTTACACTAAATAAATGATTAAACTAAATGAGTCGGCCGCTGTGGTGTAGTGTTAAACAATGCGCGCTTCCACTCCGCAACGCCTGGGTTCAAACCCTTGTCAAAGCAACATCGCAAAAAATGTAGAAAAAAGATTTTTCTTAACCGCGGTCGTCCCTCGGCAGGCAATGGCAAACCTCCGAGTGATTTTCTGCCATGAAAAACAGCTTCTCATAAAAAATGCAATCGCCGTTCGGAGTCGGTGTAAAACTGTAGGTCCCTCCGCTTTGTGTGACAACATCAAGGCGCACGCCACAAATCGGAGGAGAAGCTCGGCCAAACACTAACATATGTGTAAGCGCCAATATATTATTATTATTAAATGATTATTGAGGATTAGGTATGGTAGCACGAAATGTCACAATCTGCTTAATTGTCAGGTAGTTAATATGGCGCCCGAAAAGTGACAATGAAACTACCTTCTTTTTTGTATCATGGTATAATTTATAAAATTGTAATACGTATTAGAGGGCTGCATGAATTCATTCAAACAAAACACTCAGCGTTTGGAATTTTGTAAGTTATGAATATACATTTTGTTTTATATTTTCTACCTTCAAATGGAAGAATGTGAATGAATGAATAGAAAACATTCAAATCATTCAAACTCATTTCGGTAAAAGTTTTTTTCTACAAACAAGTTTTTTCGTATTAATAGGAGCGCAGCAATACATTTTTTTTTTTTTTTTTTACGAGGAGGAAGCATCGAAAGCCTATACCCGTCAGTGTGGGACTTTAACCCGAACTAAACCTCCTACTGTCCGAGTACCGAACCCCCCGGTAGCACCGTCAAGTATTTCGTCGGGAGGCGGTTGAGCACTAGACTCGCACGTTCATTCCAGTCGGTTGTACTCAGTCCTGGGCTACGCCTGGTAGGCTTTGCCACGTCTTGTTTAAGGATAATTACCCTTTTTTAACTATTTATTCATTTATCTCTTAGATACCACTTATTATTTTCGCCTTTATAGACAGTAAGAGCAAAAACCTTAAAATGCCTTATGCGACGAGTTTCAAGCCCGCATACGTATGTATATTGCCTTTGCGGTTTGAACGCTCTAGGTTCCAATCCGCACCAACGCCCCATGTGGACGAAATTCGAAACTGCACTTTATTTGCGGCTGGAACGCCCTAGGTTCCAGTCCGCGCCTATTTTCGATTGCAAAAATTTTTCGAGGTTGCCACTTGGGCGGCTGGAACGCCCTAGGTTCCAGTCCGCGCGTATTTATCGATTTCAAAATTTTTTTTCCCGAGATTGCCACCTGAGCGGCTGGAACGCCCTAGGTTGCAGTCCGTGCCTATTTTCGATTGCAATAGTTTTTCGATATTGCCACTTGGGCGGTTGGAATGCCATAGGTTCCAGTCCGCGCGTATTTATCGATTTCACAAATTTGCGAGATTGCCACCTGAGCGGCTGGAACGCCCTAGGTTCCAGTCCGCGCATGCGCTTTAATTGTTAGATTTCATGTTCAAGGTGCGGTCTGAAAGCACAACTTTCTAAGCCGCACTGCTCGAGCGGCTGGAACGGCCTAGGTTCCAGTCCGCGCCTACGCTTTGGTTGGTGAACATCATAGTTGGCTTAAGCACGGCTGATACGCCGCTGTCTCTCTAGGTCCCTCAGTTCCTTCAAAATCGATGTTAGTGTATCGCTGGTGGATGCCCATTCGCTGGTTCCTTTCACCATATAGTCGACTACTGACTGTGGCGTAAACACCCCTCCAACGGCAAGTTTAAGTTGGTTCATCTGCCGATGGAAACGAGGGCACTCAAAGAATACGTGGTGGACATCTTCTTCCACGCCACTTAGACAGAAGTCGCAGTAGGGGTCGTGCTCATGTTTGAAGTTAAACCTTATAAGCATACCGCGCAAAAGTATATACAAAGAAAATTGTTGTTCGAGAATTTTTTAAGGACAACCAGTAAAATATGTGTATTTTAATTTCAT